ATGGATAGATGGATTGATGGATGATGGATAGTGGTTTGAAGTACAGCAGCAAAAAGTATCAAGAAATGACACTTGATTCATATTTTGGGGCCAAAATGTAAGAAAATTGAATATTTTATTATATCAACAAATGATTATTGTTCTAAATATGACAGATAATATATATAAACTACATGACCAATTGTGATGCTCAATGAAATGTTAGAGAGTATCTTTTGTATTTATTATAGTATATATACTATGGTAGAAAAAAAAATGTCTGTTTATTGCTTTAATCAGCAACCTATGTTTTTATCTATGTTGATTTTTCCTTGAAATATTTAATAATATTAACTTGAATAAATATTTCAATAAAAGGTTGATAAATAATAAAAAGTACAATTAAAAACATTAGACAAGTCAGCACAATACATAAGACGCAGTAGCACACCAGGACATCCCAAGTTCGAATCCCGGCTAGAGGACATTTCCCAACCCTACCGCCCTCTTTCTCCCACTTTGCTTTCTGTCTCAATACTGTCCTATCTAATAAAGGCAACAAAAAAAAAAGTCTACAAATAAATCTTAAAAAAAAAAAAAAAAGAGATTAGACAAGATTTGTTCAAACTTCATACAAAATAAACAATAGTAAATAAATAAATAATTAACAAAACAAATAAATAAATAAACATATATACAAATAAACAAACAAACATTGTCAACATTATGTCATTAGTTCCCAGCTTAAATTTTGATAAAAACTTAAAATACTGTAGGGGCATGCATTTTAAGAACATCAATTAACATGCGGAGTATAAAAATCTTGCCTGGATGTCTTTAAAACTTCACATTCTCATAAAACATGCTAGAGAGGTAGTCAAAATGTGTATTAATTCTACATTATATTGTACAGAAAAAAAATAAAGCTGAATCATACTTTATACACTTATAGATTACAGTTTATAAGAATGATAACAGATGTTATAAATGATTGCTAAAGCAAGTCAAACAGGAAATGGAAGTGACTTACGCTTTTAACTCTGCAAATCTGACCAGCATCTTGGCGTAGCTCTCGTTCTGACTGTACTTGCCCAATGGCATACTGGAAAAGACCCGCGTGTAGCTGTCCATAAGTTTGCTGAGCAGGCTGGGGTCTGCTTGAGGATTGCCTTTCTTCTCCAGATTGCTCAGAAATGTCCGGCAGGTGTCCGGGGAGTTTGAGCTAATGGCCTGGTTTATGTAATCCGTGTCATCTGTATGGAAGAGAAACTTGCTTGATTTTTCTACTTGCTAGGGATTGTTTGATCGATTATTTATTGCCAAATTAGCAGTTTATGGTTATTTCATGTCAAAACTTAACAATCAGACATTTCGTTTCTTGATACATCCTGGAATCCTACATTAGGAATCCTGAAAAAAACTAATTAATAAATCGATTACCTTCATTGAACAATTGCTTCATCATGGCCAGCTTTTGACACAGCATGGCAATCTGCATCTGTCGCTCTGTGCTCTCTTCTTCATCCATCTCTACAATCTGTAACACAAAACACACATCAGGAGTTCAGAAAGAAGACGCCAGACACTAAAGCGGAGCAATTTAAAAATAAATATTGTATGAACAAAACGTTAAAAATATATTCAATATTGCATATATTGAAAATGTATTTTAAACAAGTATATTGTTTTAAATTATTCACTTTCGTGTACTATGGTGTCGGAAAATACATTGTTTACAGTAATTAGTTTATCTGTTTCTATCTTTTTCCTCAGTTACAACATTATATATATATATATATATATATATATATATATATATATATATATATATATATATATATATATATATATATATAGGTCAGCAACAATACTGCAGGAGGCTGTGGCGTTGACACTATCATCAATTGGTACTAATGGGCCCAATGTGTGTGTATGTGTATATATATATATATATATATATATATATATATATATATATATATATATATATATATATATATATATACATACATACATAATATATATATATATATATACATACATACATACATACATACATATATATATATATATATATATATATATATATATATATATATATATATATATATATATATATATATATATATAAATTGTATTGCAGTTTTTTCCAAAATCGTACAGCCCTATTTTACATGCAATTTAACATTCTGCTTTTTAGATTTTGAATTACTTTTGCGAATATAAAATGTCAAAATATGTGTGAAGAAAAATCTTCATCTACATGCATAATAGATGCATTTATTTAAATATCAGAGCAGGTTTTACTTTCAGTTTTACAAAACTGTTGTCAAATTGGTAAGCTCCAGTGATCTGAAGGATGTGTTTAATTACGAGTTATTAATTATGATAAATATGAGGACACATTACAATGAGGGGGGACTTTTTCGGTCTCAATCTGACGTTTGGAAATCTTATTCACCCACGAATATCTCTCAAAATGTCTGTCAGTAAAAACATATATACACGCACACAATCTTTATGTATTTACATTACCTTTAAGCACACAAAACCAAAACACATGTCTCTTTCAAGGCAAAGCTTTTTGATGACATCACACAGCAAGACTAGAAAAAAGTCCGTCATCCTATCTGGGGCCCTTTCGGGTTCTAAACAGATCATTCGCCTTACTAAAGCCTGACACATATCAAATCTCTTATTCAGCATAACTTTATTCCACTTGCAGTCATTATGAACAGCACAAAACACCCCGCTTTGGTGTTTACAAACGTTAGCTATCCGACTAGCTAACGTTAACTCGCTTTACAGCAGGCTATTTCCCGTTGACAATCTTGCGAGTGTCTACTATGCACTGCACTGCACCTTTAACATTCCAAGCAACATTATACAGAGTTTAAAATCAGTTTTACTTACATTGAGACGGAGAAATGATGCGAATTGACTGCTTAAATGTTTTGTTTCAACAGTCCTTTTCAAAATTCGCCACTTCCCAAAAGCGAGTGCTCCTACTGGTCAGTTTGTATTACACGTGACCACTTCGCTTTCAGGGAGGGCGGGGCTTGGCGGGATGATCTTCCTTCGATCTCGTGATTGGTTTGGAGAACTGTTTATATGAGGTCTATGACGAGATGTTTTAGTGGTCAGCACAGTCGACAGAACAGAAGGTCACTGGTTCGAGCCCCGGCTGGGTCAGCAGACGTTTTGTGCGGGGTTTGCATGTTCTCAGCTTGTTGGCGTGGGTTTCCTCCGGGTGCTTCGGTTTCCCCCTCAGGCCAAACACATGTGCGATAGTTGAATTGGGTAACGTTAAGCTCGATTGACTGAAGTGCATGATTAGTGTGTGTGTGTGTGTGTGTGTAAGAGTGTACGGGTTTTTCCCAAAATTATGTTGCAGCTGGAAGGGCATCCGCTGTGTAAAACATATGCTGGATAAGTTGACGGTTCATTCCGCTGTGGCGACCCATGATGAATAAAGGGACTAAGCCAAAGGAAAATGAATAGATGAATGTTATCATGTAAGAATACAATATTTTAGACTAGTTAGATACTCGAGTGCTTTTATGTACGTTTTTCATTTTGGATTTTTGTAGAGATGTGCTAAAGAGATACTTTATAAATATGAAAATATTAATAAATATTAAAAAGATTTACAGATGTGTGGAACTCATTTTATGAAAGGTTATATTTGAAGTTCAATAATATGTGGAAAAACATGTTTTATACCAGAGGGTTTTCAAACTTGACTATAATAGACCAGGAAACTAACCATATTAATTTTATATATATATAAAGTGGATTTAACAGTACTATGAGTTATAAAAATTATGTAAATAAACAATAATAAAGATAAATATATATATAATAACTGATTTATTTTATCTTTATCTATTTTATACAGTAAATAATATTTGACTGGATATTTTCCAAGGCACTACTATACAGCTTAAAGTTACATTTAAAGGCTTAACTTGGCTAATTAGGTTAACTAGGCAGGTTAGGGTAATTAGGCAAGTTTTTGTATAATGATGGTTTGTTCTGTAGACTATCGAAAAAATATTTAGCTTAAAGGGGCTAATAATATTGACTTTGAAATGGTTCATAAAAAAAATAAAAAGTTTTTTTGTTGTAGCCAAAATAAAACAAATAAGACTTTCTCCAGAAGAAAAATATTATCAGACATACTGTAAAAAAATTCCTTGATCTGTTAAACATCATTTGGGAAATATTTAAAAAGAAAAAAAAAAAAATCCAAGGAGGGCTAATAACTCTGACTTCAACTGTGTGTATCTATTAACTATTTATTTTTTAATAACATCTTATAATATTATTTACAAAGTGAAAACTGTATCCATTTGGTAAAACAAATCATAAAAAAACTCATTAAAAAATATTGTTTATATTAGTAAAATTAGGATTTATTTTACACATGACTGCATGTTAGTTTAACCGTTGCAAACATTACTCAAATCTTGATTAAGTGGTTTGAGATAGGTAGAAAAATTAATATTAATGACATATTTAATGCAACGCTAATATTTAATGTTCAGTGCATTACATCATCGTCCATTTACTTATGTATTTATTTTGTGTTTTAAAATTAAATCTTATATTATTATACAAAGCAGAAACCGTATACATTTGGTGAAAAATATTCATTAACAATTAATAAAAAAATATCTTATTTATATGAATAAAAATTGAATTTATTTTGCACAGGATTGCATGTTATTTAAGACGATGCAAACATTGCTCAAATCTTAAGAGGCAGTGATCGTCGATTTACGTATGTATTTATTTAGTGTTTTAAATAAAATCTTATAATATTATTTACAAAGCAGAAACCATATGCATCTGGTAAAAAATATTAATTTAAAAAATATATATATATATAATATATATATATTAGTAAAATAAAGATTTATTTACACATGACTGCATGTTATTTAAATATGTAAAAACCTGTCATGTAAATAAAATGTCACATAGTTCTGTAAAAATAAATAAATACAAATACAACCCAATTATATAGTACAGTCGAACTTTTATTTCATTGCTTAAGGTATTTTTAGGAGAAACTTTGCAGTGTAGCCATCTTCATACACACATCATAAGAGATGGACTAAATAAATAGAAGAGCAAAAATGAGTCAGATTCAACCTGACGTCATCAAAACATCTAAAATCTGCATTTGTTTTATTTCAGTTTTATGAAGCATTTCCAACTGCAGCTGTATATTGAGTAGGATCTGCCCAATCAGATTCAGCCTGATGTCATCATACAAATGCGGCTGTTCCAAAGCAGAAGCAGATGGTCAGATTTTGATTCAAGATTACCAAAACAAAATAATTTAATGGATTAATTTGCACGGATTCATTGTTCACCTTAAGACTGACAATGTGGTGGCAACAAAATAAACAATGCAAATTTTGATTTAATGCGGACTTTAAACACATTACCAATGCATGTTTGGGAATGACAGTGCTGTTTTCTTCATCAGTAATAAGTAAACGCGTCAGTAGAGTGAAAGACATCATAATCATTATGGTCCTAATCAATCTGCTGGACTTGTTTGGGTCCTTCCAGCGTTCGTAGAGTTTCATCCCACTGTGAAAACTGTTTGGACAGAAGAAACATCTGTGAAAGGGTTAAGGAGATGCGTTTGAAAAGTATTCAGATGCTCAAAAAGAGCTTATTGTGTTGGCGATTTTAGCTGCAGGCAACACGTGGTAATAACAGTCACTTTTATGTTTCACGGCAAGTAAGGATACCATTTTATTGTACTCTTCAAAGAGTCTTTTGACTTCAGCAGACAAGTCTTCATTCTGGTCCTGTAAATGTCAGTTGAGGATAAAACATTTGATTATATGGGAAGATGTACCAGCAGGGTTTTCATTTAGTTGATTTAATTATCATTAGACAGCATTTAAAGGGATAGTTCACTAAAAAATGAAAATTTACACACTATTTTCTCTCCCTCAAGTGTTTTCTTTTTTCTGTTGAACTCAATAGAAGACATTTTGAAAAAAGCTGAAAACCTGTAACCACAGACATCCATAGTAGGAAAAAATACTATGAAAGTCAATAGTTAAAGGTTTCTTCAGTATAGGGGAATTACCAACCTATGTCACACTGGTTCAATCGCGCATACCGGTTGCAAGAAGAGGCCAGTTGCAATAGTAAACATGTTGTGTTGTGCAGCAGGATGCCAAATTCGAAAGTCTACAAATAGAAAACTTTAATTTTAGCATACACCACACTGCGTTTAATGCCAACCGCAGACGTCTTTGGCTAACAGCCATCGTATGAGCTGAATGGAGCGAGCACCTAATTAAAAATGCTCGACTTGTAGATCTTTAACTTCTCTTCTGTAAAATCACTTAGAGTTTTAATGAGATAGTTGTATATTTGGGGCTGGATGCTTGGCCATTTCATTTATCCAATATTCATTGGGAGGGTGCTATCGCAAATGGACCCGTCAGATGAACGCTGCTCACTTTATTGTTAAATTTGCAATATAACTTGTCATGATCACCAGCGATCTAACCACCAGAGGTCGCTGGTAAACACTCCCTTTCACATGAACTACAAATCCACCATGTTATGGACTACATATTCAGTCATGCAGCACACACACACACCTGCTCCAAGTCTCCTCTGATTACACTCTTACAGCTGATGCTGCTCAATGAATGACCACACACATATATTCGGCTCACTTCGAGACACTCAGGGCTGAGTCTTGTCTACTGTTTTGGTGACACTACAACGCATTTTCCTTTGTCTTGTTTTCCTCGCCTTGCTTAATCCTGTTTGCTGCCTGCCTTGTGACCAGCTGCCTGTTACGACTCTGGATTGCCCTTATACATGTGTTTGCCCCTTTATTGACCACTGCTTGCACTGAATTGCCACTGTGTATGAAATGTGCTATATAAATAAACTTGCCTTGCCTTGACCTCGCTAATAAAACCTTGCATTTGGATCCTCACCCCTGTTGTCAGTGTCACATCCCTGATTACGTTACGAGAGTGTAATCAGAGGAGACTTGGAGCAGGTGTGTGTGTGTTGCATGGCAGAATATGTAGTCCATAACATGGTGGATTTGTAGTTCATGTGAACGGTAGTGGTAAACAGTGACCTCTGGTGGTTAGATCGCTGGTGATCATGACAGAACTGTGCTTATCACTGGGTGACAAGCTGTTATAATACGCTGAAAGCATTATGTAAATAATATATATAATATGTAATCAATAAAACTTTTCTCTAATCGAACAATAAACTCTGTACTGCATCGGATGTCATTCCCTCGCTGTAATTGCTAGCACTCCCGGTTTTCTTCTGCAGCCGCGACGCACAGGCCTCCTGAATGTTTACAAACCGGTAATTCGTCAATATCTTTTGTGTTCAGAACAGAAGAAAGAAACCCAAGTAAAGCGAAAGTAAAATGATGATAATTTTATTTTTTGGGGTGAACTGTCCCTTTAAGAGTATGTTCATGTCAAAAGTAAACATTTCACTTTGAAATTTCAAAAGTTATAATTCTTATAATCAGTGTATTTTTTACAAAGAGAGGAAATAAGTATTGAACAGGTCATGTTTTTTTCCTGGGAATAATGTTTCTAAAGGAGCTGTTGACCTGGAATTGAACCAGATTTAGGTAAAAAACCAAACAATACAAACATAAAAAAATTAAAATCTGAAATAAAATGAGTCATGTGTAAAAACAATGAAAAGACACAAGGAGAAAGTGCTGAACTACTGAAATGTATTTATTACTTTATATAAAAGGCTTTTTTTGGTGATGGCAGCTTAACCCTTTGATGCACTACATGGGTCTAAAGTGACCCATCTAAGTTTATTTTTTCTATATGTATTTTATAGCGTGTGCATCAAAGGGTTAAAGACGCCTCTCATATGGAGAATGAAGTCGCATGCATTGCTCAGGTGTGAGTTTCTCACAGACTTCAACAGAAAACATCTTCTGTCGGTCTCGTCTATCAAATCTGAGCTTTATTTTGTATTTTCAATTGGATTGGGGTAAGGTGATTGGTTGGGCCATTCTACAGCTTGATTTTCTTTCTCTGAAAGCATCTGAGAGTTTCCTTGGCTGCGTTTTGGATCATTGTCTTGCTGAAATGTCCACTCTGGTTTCATCTTCATCCTCCAGCTAATGTAGATGTTGGACTGAAGCAGCTGATATTCATTAACAATGAGGAAGGGCAGAGGATTGCTGAAGAACTACTGAGAGATTTCAGCTGCTGTCTGGGCTTTCACTGCCTTTCTACACCTTCCTTTCTTCATGTGTTCAATCCCTTTTCCCTGCGTCATTTAATTTTATCACACAGAACTTTATTCACAAACTAATTAGTCTTTTTTTCTTTGCATATATATATTCCTTTCGTTGTTACCAACATCCGGACAAGAATTATTTAAGTCAACGGCACCTTTAGAAATATGCTTACTGAGAAAAATGGTGACATGTTTAATACATATTTTCCCTTCTGTATATCGCAATATATAATTACAAAACAACTACTAAATTTCACCATATCACTTTTGACGATATCGTGTAGCCCTACTTAGTAACTAATTAAAACTAAACAATATATTTGACAATTCTTTGCGTTACCTGCTGTTGAATGTGTATTTGTGACAGCCGCTGTACTTTAGTAGTAAGCTCTGGAACCGCTGTGATATCATGAAGAAGGAAACAACACACACACAGCTGTTAATAATACATTCATACAGACGGACTGACAGACACTTAAGACAAAATTATTAGGTGTCCCGTGAAATTGTAATTCTATTTCAATTATTTCCCAGGTGACGATTAATGTAGAGTAGAATATTTTAATACATTTCCAAACATAACAGCTTTAATAGCTCATTTACTTTGTCATGATGACAGTACTAAATATTTTACAAGATATGACAACCCCAAATCAGAAAAAGCTGGGACAGTATGGAAAAAGCACAGCATCCAGAATACTTATTCAGCTATATTTAATTCTATTTATCTTTATTTCTATAGACCTTTGACAATGTAAATGGTGTCAAAGCAGCTTAAAATAGAAGTTCTAGTAGATTGAAACAGTCAGTCCAGTTTTCAGAGTTGCAAGCAACATCACCACAGAAACGGTGTTGTACCTTTAATGTGGTTACTGTCCAGAAGAGGCTGCATATTCTGCACTTGCTCGAGTAATGCGGCTTGTGAACGCAGAAACTCTTCCTCTGGAGACACACACACATTCACATCAGACTGTTTACAACAGTGCAGATCATTCTAACATGTGCAGTGCAGATCATTCTAACATTCTAGCCTGTTGAATCCGTTTTAATTGTAGGCCTGCAAAGGTCATATTAAAATTCAAATTAACATATTTCTGGAGCACTTTTTAAAATAATTTTCATTCTGGTCTTCTTTAAAACAGGTTTCTTACACAGATATATGCAGTAAAAAACAAAAGTTAGAGCTTTTTAGGATCATTGCAATATAAAAAGTAATGCAATAAAATTGTTATATTTTATTTAAATGCACACATAAATTTAAAAATATATATGATGTAATTTCAGTGTCACTTTAAAAAAAAAAATCTAAATTTACAAGATTAAAAATGTAATATTTTCAATATATTTTGAGAATCAGTTATATGAGTTTAACGTTGAAATATGTCAAATGTGAGAATATTACAATGATTTCCAAATCAATTTATCTTTTTTCCTATAGTGCAATGTGATCACAAAACCAACAAAAAAAGCAACAAAGTCATCTTCACTACTCAAAGACTCAATTTTTTAATGTTTTGCTTTTTAATTTGCAATGGATTATTTAATATGCATCAGACTTTGTGTGCAAGATTTGTGTGCGTAACAAACCTTAACTTCAGTAACAACAAAAATATACACAGATATCTGCAGTAAAAAACAAAAGTTAGAGCCGTTTAAGATTATTTCAATATGAAAAGTACTGCAATAAAACCTTTATATTTCATTTAAAAACATACACAATAAAAAATATATATGATGGCGTATTAGTACCACTAAAGGTCAGAGTTATAGGAGAATAAAGTTGGAATAATGTCATATGTGGAAAGATTACAATGATTTTCAATTCATCTTTATTTCTAAAGTGTTATGGGCAATGTAGATTGTGACAAAGCAGCAAAAGGATCAAGTGACTGGAGTAATCGCTACATTTTCAAACACAAAACAGTTATTTTGAATAGTAAAATTACAAATTTGACTCTTTTTGTTGGACTTTTTTTGGATCAAATAATGCAGGATTATTGCACACAAAATATGAAATCTAAAATTTTTGTACGTTGAAAAATATATTTGACCTCATCGTATTGACACACTGCACTCGAAACTTTCATCCATCAGTTCAAAAACTCGAATCGGGTTAGATTTTTTCAGTTTTTCACATCCGAAAAAGGCATTTTGAGAGCATTTTTTTTTTTTTTTTTTGCAATGGATTATTTAATACGCATCGGACTTTGTGTGCAAAATTTGTGTGTGTGATGAATTTTTCGAATTCCAATGCAAAACAAAAAACGCATGCAGAAATTTCTGACTTCAGTGTACAAAGAAAGCAGCATGTGTGGAAATCAGAGCACTAACCAGCTAGAATAAACTCCAGTTTGACTGAATCGGGCACAGCGATGAAGTCTGTGAACTGGGGGTCCAAATACTTCAGCAAATCTTCGACTGAGTGGAAACACAAATTGAAAAATGATGACAAAATGATGACGCAACAAGCCATATTTTGGATATGCATAATACTGGATGATTTCTAATTCTCTTACTCTTCTTGTGCAGGATCTTGACGCGCTCTCTCTTGTTGGCAGTGTTTGCCAGAGCTGCACTGATCCGGGTGAGGGATTCTGCACACTGGAGGAAAGAAAAAAAACAGATTACGAATACAGAAAAAAAAAAAACGTTAAAACTGTTAATGCACTCTCTTAACCTTCTAAGGCTTGAGGGGCCACATACGTGTCGTGGACAGCACATTTTAGCTCTTAAGTGGCTATTTAAAATACTTTGAATGTTTAATATTTTGTTACAGACATACAGTGTCATCCTGCAACTGTTTTGCAGCAAATTAAAAGTTCCAAACACTATTTTTAACTGTCCAAAATGAGAGAAAATATATATTTTGACTCTCTCATAGTCAAAACATGTTCAAAAAATGTCTATGTTATATTTGCATTAAAAAACAGTCAGGAAAAAGTGTTTTATGTAAATTCGGGCCACAAGTGCACATATATGGACATCAATTTTCTCTAAAAGTACATCATTTCAAACAATGAAATTTGTGAGATTTTATTCTGATTAGGTTCCAACAAGACCAAATAGCAAAGAGAAATAAAAAATGCATGTAAAAAAACACCTTGGGCCTTAAGAGGTTAATGTAAAAGTTTTTTATTCGAAATGAGTGCCCTTTCCCTTTTTAATTACAAATATCCCAAGCAATCTGAAATGATTAATTAGTTTCACTATAAATATTCATTGTAATGAATTAGTATGAAAACTGAATTCACAATAATTATAATTAGGGCTGTGCAACATAACAATACATATCGAATGGACAAAATAAACTTATCATTTGATATTATGCTCTATAGTTTTTTTTTTTGTGGTGTCACAAAAATTTTTTACAATAATATTTTTTTCCACCATTTTTCTACAGACTGAAACTGAATAAAGCATTAAGAGAAAGCTGCACGCACACACACACACGCACACATATATATATATATATATATATATATATATATATATATATATATATATATACACAAACAGAAAGAACAATATTTTTTACTTTTGAACTTGTTTATGTGATTTATTTACTATATGTTATAGGTCTCAAACTCGATACTTGGAGGGCCACAGTTTTGCTCCAACCCTAATAAAACACAACTGATCCAATTAATCAAGGTGTTCAATACTACTAGAGACCATTAAGCAGGTGTTAGTTGGAGGAGGTTAGAGCTAAACTATACAAAGCTGCCGCCTCCAGGATCTGAGTTTGAGAATAGAGGCAAAGTTGGTTTTATATTGGGATATTCAGACATTCGGCTTAATAATAAATTTTTGAGAAAAGTATTCTTTGTAAATTCTAAATGGGGAAATCATATTAGCAGCAAATGACAAAGTACAACATTGTTCACAGTCAATTAGTGTTAATGTTGTTTTGAAGTCATACTTGCATGCTAAATCCAATCGAATATTCAAAGTAACATGGTAAACAATAGAGAGACTGCTAAATGAACGAATGTGCAAATATAAAACCAACTTTACCTCTATAGTTTGAGACCACTGCTATATATAAATTTATTTGTAAACTCTTTATATAAATATATATATATATATATATATATATATATATATATATATATATATATATATATATATATATATATATATATATATAAACTAATAATTGACTGAATTATAAAGCAGTATTGTTTTGCGATACATGTTATAATCATGATATGACATTTTTATAACATCACCAAGCTCTAATTATAACATAACTCGCACAATGTGGGCTCTATTTTAGATTTGGTTATTTTGAGGCATTCACAAAAAACATCAACTGGTTTCACACAAGTATTATTGTTTAGATTTGCTTGCAACTGTCTTTTTTATTCCCCACTGTTTCTAGGGAAATCATATTCGCAACCAACGAGTGTCAAAGTACAACAGTTTCCACAGTAAATTAAATAGCGCTAATGTAATTTTGAAGTCTTACGATTTCAGACCAAATATTCAAAGTAGCATGGTAAACAATGTAGGGAGCGTGTCACAAGTTGTCACTGTGCAAATTTAACTTTAAAACTTTACCTTGATGAATTTTTGTTCCTACTATTGATGTCAATGGTTGCTTTTTCCAACATTAAATAGTGGTAATGTTGTTTTGAAGTCATGCTTGCATGATACTTCTGACCAAATATTCAAAGTAGTGTGGTAAACAAATAAAAATTCAGACATTCAGACTCCTTAATAATATAATTTCAGTATTCTTTGCACACTCTAAATAGGGAAATCATATTAGCAGCAAATGACTATCAAAGTACAGCATTGTTCACAGTCAATAAGATAGTGTTAATATTGTTTAGAAGTCATACTTGCATGCTACTTCTGATCAAATATTCAAAGTAACACGATAAACAATATAGAGACTGCTAAATGAACAAATGTGCCAACATAAAACCAACTTTACCTCTATGGTAAACAATATAGGGAGTGTGTCACCTTGTCAGCGTGTATATATCTATGGCGTGTCACAAGTTTTCACTGTAATTTAATGTTTATAAATCAAATATAAAAACAACTTTACTTCAAAGACTTTTTGTTCCTACTATGGATGTCAATGGTCATTTTTTAACTTTAAGAATATCTTGTTTTCAACAGAATAACAAACTTAAAAGGTTATAACCACTTGAGCATGATAACTAGTGTTGTAATTTAGGTTTTTGAGTGAACTACCCCTTTAAAACTACTTATAAAATCAGATAAATCATCCAACGTTACTGTAATGTGTGTTAGATCCTCCTGCCACGCCCAACATCTAAATAACCGCAATTAAACATCCAAAAAAGACCAACATGTGACCTCTAGCACACTTAATGCACATTAAACGTCATAATCGTCGATGATAATAATGGATGCTATTGTTATGAGTCTTCATTTGTCAACAGTAAACACCACAGAGCTGCAGATCCGCCCGCAGCTCAGGCTTTGAGGCGCGAGTTTGAGCTTCACCTTCACTGGTTTGCCGTTTTTTCCTCCTCTTTCTCCATAAACGCGTTTTTCGAGAAGCTGAAGACGAGCGTCCAGATCTTCCAGATTGCTTTTCTCTTCCATTTTTGTTGTCTTGTAGTAATTCTGCACACCGGAAATGACGCTAGGGGAAGTTCTTCTCGTGCGCACTTGCTTCCGCTGCTATGGTAAAGTCTAGACTGGTTAATGTTACGATCTCATCAATATTACATTATTTTTGTTCCACTGTACAACAATAATGAATATATTTACATTACTGTGAGAGTTGCGTTCAGGGTTAAGGTTTTGGTCTATTCAATACCTTATTTCATTAAAAATATGAATAATAAAATACTATAATGACTGTTTTTACATACTGTGAGGGTTGTTGGGGTAGAGGAACCAACATTTTTCACAAAAAAGGAGAGATTTGTAAATACAGTATCGAAAGGAGAAATGTTTTTGAAGCTTGAACACTAAGATGAAACTAAGTTTGTTCACACGTTCAAACATTTGGCCTTCCGTTTTTTTTCATTCAATTTTTTTTATTTGTCTATTTCCTTTACAAAACACAATATTTAAAACACTCAATATTGGTCACATTTTAAAAACATTAAACCTCATTATTTATTCATTAAACTAAGTTAAAACTGTTATGTTTCATTAAATGTTATGCAACACTGGGCTGTTTGATATATATATATATATATATATATATATATATATATATATATATATATATATATATATATATATATATATAGTGTACCCTACCTGACAAGTCTTGTCACCTATCCAAGTTTTACAACAGTTTTACAATTTACAGCAAATAATAACTTGACTTCTAGTTGATCATTTGGTATCAGAAGTGGCTTATATGAAAGGAAAAGGCCTCTAGATAACTAATTTGTAGCAAAATAAAATATCATGCCTTGATTTTTAATGATTTAATTAGGACAGTAAGGTCAAACTTTGTCTTGACAAAAGTCTTGTCACTTAATAGAAATAAAGTCCAGTATAGAATATAAAGTCAAGCTGCAGTGGAAAAAGAGTTAATATTGTGTCTGACTCCATCATGAGCTTGAAGGACTGCATCCATCCATTTGCTTTCAGGATCTTTGATGTGGAGGCTGAAGTATGAGAAGGAGCGCTATCCTGCTGGAGAATTGTCCCTCTTCTGTGGTTTGTAATGTAATGGGCAGCACAAATGTCTTGATACCTCAGGCTGTTGATGTTGATCATCCACTCTGCAGATCTCGTCCATGCCCCCATACTGAATGTGAATCCAAACCATGACTTTCCTTCACCAAACTTGACTGATTTCTATGAGAATTTCCCAAATTGTAAAATTTTTAAAATTTCTGAGACATTTCACAAAGATTTAGAATAATGTGGAAAATAATACTTATTTTTAAAATAGAAATTTATTACATCATATAATTAGAAAAAAGTTAAAGTTTTAAATTAAAAACTGTATTGCCATTTATTAGGCAAATAACAAACTGGCCAGCACATTTAACTTTTCTCAAATTTGAGACTGTATAACTTCAGAACGCGAAGTCACACGGAGCCAAATTCAGCGTCCCAATTCTGCACCGGCAACCAACATTGATTCTGCTTAATTTTAACGCCTTCTATGATGAGTTATTTTCACTATTTATTATTCTTGGAAGTAACTTAATATTTATGGGAGTAAAAAAACTTTACAAATTTAAAAACCGGCTACAATGAAATCTCCATGTTTGTCTGTCGAATATTTAAAGGCAACCTATCACAATTAACTAATTACTTTGAGCACACTATGAATAAATAACCACAAAAACCTTAAACAAGTTTGTTTTGCTGCAATATTACAGAAATATATTAAAATATAAAAAAGAAAATAATGTCAAATATGTGGATTTCTCACATATATGAAACCTGTGCATTTATTTGTAACAGAACAATAATTTTCAGAAGAAAATGCATCCTACGATGAAGTTTATTAACAAAAATTCAGTAGTGAGTGTGTGTTATGGACAAAAGCCTTAACTTATTTACAGGTGAACAACACAAAATAAATCACAAATGTAGAGTTTCAGATTTGTATCTTGCAGAATATATGCATTTGTTTTATTTTCTGCTTGTTAATTAGGGGTTACCACGGTGCAATGAACCGCCAACTTATCCAGCATATGTTTCACGCAGTGGATGTTCCAACACTGGGAAACACCCATACACTCTTGCATTAACACACATACACTACGGGCAATTTAGCTCATTCAATTCACCTATACCCCATGTGTTTGGACTGTGGGGGAAACCGGAGCCCCCGGAGGAAACCCACGCCAACACGGGGAGAACATGCAAACCCCACACAGAAGTGACCAAGCCGAGGGTCTGTTCAAAATAACAATTCTATAATAAAGAATAAAACATTTTGTCAAAGCTTCCCACCCCATATATTTAAGTCTGAGAAGAGATGAAACTGGTTTGCATCGATCCAGTGAATTGCACCTGTTTTGGCGCATGCGCAGTGGCGCGGCGCTCGTTCAGTGCTGTGAGTGGGGAGCGACCCGAGAGCCGCAGTGATGCCAGTGACCCTCTAGGATGCTCGATACACGAATGGGTTTATTACTATCTGCTTCATACACGGGCCTTTGAGCAGATACATATCGGTAAAAAGGTGTTTTTCACGGCAAGACTAACGGGATAGCGCGACCTTGCGCTGAATGTCATTACAAAGGGATTTTAATCTCGCGACGGTAAGAACGGAAATCATCATTAGCATAATGCATTTAGCTTACGACGCCAACTGACAGTTTAATATCAACTCCATGATGCTGAATGTGTATTTTACAGGTAATATATTCTGCAATTATCGTTATAAATTCGCCTCAATTTGCCGCATCGAGGGGTTTTCGCGATTGATCCCCCATTAGTACACATTTTCTGTCAGTCTGACGTTAACTAATAACGTTAAATTCCTTGTAATGGTGGACATAGAATTGGCAGAGGATTTAATGGGGGTCTGCCCAATATATATAATCATATCTTTGATATTCATCGTCATTTTCGACCAAACCCAAACCATTCTCTATTCAGTAATTGAGTGTGAATGGTATAATTCGGCTGGTGTTGAGTATATATTTGTGCTGACACGTGCTGTTGCCCTTTGTGCTGAATTTCACCCCCACCTCCCATCATAATAAACCCTTTCCCTTCTCCTCCATCACTGTGTGAAGCATCAGCATCTGTTCTCTCTTTCTCTGTGTGTGTGTGTGTGTGTGTGTGTGGTCAGACTGTGAGGATCTGAGTCCCAGCCATGGAGATCATCCAGCACATCATCAACGACACCGTCCACTTCTACAAATGGAGTCTCACCATTGCAGGTAATGATATGTGAGGCATTAAAGAGACAGTTCACCCTCCGAAAAATAACTATTTAATCACTGTATTAAACTTTCTTTCTTCTGTTGAACACAAAACGAGATATTATGAAGTGTATTAAACAAAAAAGCAGCAATTTATTTCAATTGTAGGGAAAACAGTATGTCAGTATTTTCACATTCTTCACTATATCCTCCTTTGTGTTCAATAAAAGTAGAAACTCAGGGTTGGATCAACTGGAGGATGTGTAAATTATGACATAATTTACATTGTTTTGGGTTAACTGTGCCTTTAAATGTTGGAGGGAGCACAAACCACGCTAGCTCTGCCTTCTTATCAGATTCTCCCATGAGGCACTGCTGCGTTGGTTTCAGCTTTGGTGACATTTTCAAGCATTATCAGACTTTTAGTGTAGAAAAATGTTAGGAACATCATTATCTCTTCCTTCACTTTTTTCAAATTGGTTGAAAACTAAAGAAGATATTTTGAAGAATGTTGGCACCCATTGACTTTAATAGTATTTTTGGTTTCTCCCAATATTGAAGTCAAATGGTTTCAGGTTTCTGGGATACTTCAAAATATCTTCTGTAGTGTTCAACTGAAGAAAGAAACTCATAAACGTTTAAAACTACACAAGGGAGAGTAAATGATGAGGTAGTTTTCATTATTAATGAAACCCAGCCAAGGCTAGAAGCGGCAACTTTCTTGCTGTGAGGCTATCGGGCTACTCACTGCGCCACCGTGACACCCCATTTTTGAAATAAAACATATTAAATTAGATGTTACCATTTTTTTTAGCGTGGATGTTTATCATCTCAAACAGTTTCCGTGCAACAACACCACAAATGTTGCATTTGTACATTTTCCCCATCAGGGTTTTTTTTATTGAATATTTTTGATCATTCGACGACCCTCAGTATATTTTCTACTATGAATATATGACCATATTATATATATAAAAAAAAGGACCAAGCCTCTGCTTTTGAACAGAAAACAAATGTATTGTATTTTCATATGTTAATGTTTTATCACCACTTTAATGGGAATATATATATATATATATATATATATATATATATATATATATATATATATATATATATATATATATATATATATACACATACAGTATATATATATATACAGTATATATATATATATATATATATATATATATATATATATAACTTTTTAAAAAATATTTTTTATTATAGTTTTTGCAGACATAGAAAAACAAAGAACAAATAGACAAACCTATCATGAAACAATAATCAGTGCAAACTGTAAAATAAAGCATTAAACAAGGGAAAATGGCAACATACAAGACATACATGGACTACAAAAATACACAGCAATGGATGAAAGGAGAGAGAGAGAAAAACTTACAAATTTTCACAAATGAATCATTATTAGTCTTTATGTTGTGTTAGAAAAAAATGCTGAAATTTTGAAAAAAATATTTTTTTCGTAGTGCATTTCCAGGAAATTCAGTGCTCAGCATAAGTACACATCCTTTTAAAAATGATTAATTTAAATAAAATAGTTTTATTAAACAATTCTACCCATTATAGAATAATTCTTTTTTTAAATATTTTTCAAATGATTTTTAACAGAGCAAGAAATCATTTCAAGGTCAAAATTATTAGCCCCTTTAAGGAATTTTTTTTTTTGATAGTCTACAGAACACACCATCATTATACAATAACTTGCCTAATTCTCCTATCCTGCCTAGTTAACCTAAATAACCTAGTTAAGCCTTTAAGTGTCGCTTTAAGCTGTATAGAAGTGTCTTGAAAAATATCTAGTCAAATATTATTTACTGTCATCATGACAAAGAGCAAATAAATAAATTTTCAAAGTTATTAAAACTATTACGTTAAGAAATCTGTTGAAGAAATCTCTGTTAAACAGAAATTGGGAAAATAAATAAACAGGGGGGCTAATAATTCAACTCTATAGCCTTAAAACAGTGCTTTGCAGTAGAGTATGGACATATAATGGTTATGGTTGTGTGTGTTTTTAGACAAGCGTGTGGAGAAATGGCCCCTGATGGACTCTCCTCTGCCCACTCTGGCCATCAGCTCTTCATACCTGCTCTTCCTCTGGCTGGGGCCCAAATACATGCAGGGCCGCGAACCCTTCCAACTGAGGAAAACCCTCATCATCTACAACTTCAGCATGGTCATCCTCAACTTCTTCATTTTCAAAGAGGTCTGTTCACTCAAACTCAGCTCCAGCAGTTAGTTGTGTCATCCTGTATTGTATTCTTTGTATTCTATATTCATCCTGTATTTTCTTTCTTTCTATCTATCATTAATTTTCCTTCGACTTAATTATCAGGGGGTTCGCCACAGCGGAATTAACCTATATCAATCTATCTATCTATCTATCTATCTATCTATCTATCTATCTATCTATCTATCTATCTATCTATCTGTCTGTCTGTCTGTCTGTCTGTCTGTCTGTCTGTCTGTCTGTCTGTCTGTCTGTCTGTCTGTCTGTCTGTCTGTCTGAGTTGGCGGTTCATTCCGCTGAGGCGACCCCTAATTAATAAAGGGACTAAGCAGAAAAGAAAATTAATGAATGAACGCTGTCCTTAATGTGGGCGGCATGGTGGCTCAGTGGTTAGCTTTTTTTGTCACCATATGCATATGATGTGGAAAAAATTATGAGGAATTGTTTTTACAGTTTTTCTCAGTGGCTTTGGTGCATTTCTCACAACACTATTTACATTTGCACAACAGGTCATGCATTTCTCAAAACAATTAGTCATTTGTGCACATCCTAGTAGCAGTTTCTCATTCTTTTCAACAAATTGTGAATGGTTTTGGACAAGCATTAATTGCTTTCATACAACTCTCTGCTTTTTAGAACATTATCATCTGCTTATGTCATGTCAGTCACAATGAACTAAACTTGTAAATGCTAACTAGTCATTGTATATAAAACGAATAGTCCTCATTTCATTACTTGAGTCATTACATACAAAAATGTTGAACTAGTTGTCAAAATCTGTCAAGCTAATTTTATAAAACAAATTTAAATCTTTATTTTCCTGAAAATGTCTTTAAAATTGAACAATTTGATGAATGATTTACAGACCTGTGTATGTTGTAGGTTCAGTTCCAATATGTACTGCAATATTGTGTACAGTTGTGCACAGCTCTACCCAAAGGGAGTTTATGTTTGTTGTTAATAAGGGTGTGTTTGTTCTTTTGCACAATGCTGGGAATAAATGAGTATTGCAAACAGCAAATGCAGTAAACATGTGAAATATACATATTCAGTGTCAAGTACTCAGATACCTCACTAAATGCAGTGATGTCTCACTTTACTGTAGTTTTCAAATGGCTATGCAAATAGTATACAGTGCTGTCTTGAGCATTTTCAGGAAGTGTCACCAACATCTGACTTTTTTGTATTGAAAAAATGTCCAGAGTAAACTGTCATAATGAAAACATGACTAAGCCATTTGACTATCTTGTTCATAAACAATGGTGTCAGGACTTTTCATTTTGACGATACTGACACTTTGATTGACATGAATACTTGCTTTTGAGGAATGAACTATCCATTTTGAGCATGTGACGCGCTTTTGCAGGTTATCAGCTAGGTTTTGCAGTTTGCATTAATTGTTTTGAGAAATGCATTAACTGTTGTGCCGAAATGCACTAGTGTTGTGAGAAATGCACCAAAGCCACTGAGAAAAACTGTAATACTGATCACAGATCAAATGAAGCACATTTTGCGTCCTGTTCAGTGTCATTCCTCAATGAAATAGTCAGAATGTGAGTGGTTTACCTGTTGTGTTCCAGCTGTTCCTTGCGGCACGAGCAGCGAACTACAGCTACATCTGCCAGCCGGTGGATTATTCAGACGATCCCAATGAAGTGAGGGTGAGTAAGAGAGAGAGAGAGAGGATTCCTCATCACTCTGAAACCCGACTCGACCTCCTGAAGTGTGTTTGCAGAGCAGGAGAACCAGAGAGATCAGATTTCCTCCATGTCACTTTAGCTGACTCACACACACACACACACACACACACATATTAACCCACTCACACAATCATATTTGCATACACACAAATACACACATAAACACAAACACACTTAAACAAACAAACACACACACTCACACAAATACACACACTCGCACACACACAAATACACAGTACACACACAGAGACTCACACATATACACTCACTCACTAACACACAAACAAACAAAAACACACAAAAAACACACCACATATACACACACAGCAAAACTTAGAGAAACATAAACACACATATAAACTCACACAAACATACACACACACAAACATACACTCACACAAACACATTCACACAAACTCACACACACATACATGAATGCACATAAACTTATTCGCATACACACATATATAAACTTAAAGAAACAAAGACACACACAAATAAACACACAGATAACAAAAATCTCATATCACAATATTAGTAATCTTATATCCTGATAACGATATATATAATCATTCCCTTCCAGCCACAACCCAACACCGGGAAACACCCATACGTCCTTAAAGCAACAGAGACAGTGAAAGAAAACACTGCTGCGGCAATAGAAAGAGAAAATAACTTTCCTTTAGACAGCATAACAACTTCTATTGACATTTTAGTAGTTTGAATTAGTATAAGAAATAATATATCGACAAATAAGTTTATTGCAAGTTTTTTGTAGCGTAATAAACAACACAAATTCAATTCAATTCAGCTTTATTTGTATAGCGCTTTTACAATGTAGATTGTGTCAAAGCAGCTTCACATAAATGGTCATAGTAACTGGAACAGTGTAGTTCAGGTTTTAGTGTTTAAGTTCAGTTCAGTTTAGCTCAGTTCAGTGTGATTTAATCATTACTGAGAGTTTAAACACTGAAGAGCCAATTCATCGATGCGTAGCTCTACCAATCCTGAACCATGCGAGGCAGTGGCGACAGCGGAGAGGGAAAAAAACTTCACCTGATGGGAGTGAAGAAAAAAAACCTTGAGGGAACCCTCAAGCCTCAAGCCTCAAACCCAGATATTCAAACATAATGGACACTTTTCCTTCAACCCACCACCAAGCCCTGATAGTTGGCATGATCACAGCTAAAAAAGATAATCTTACTTAATTGGAAGTCTCCAAAGGCTCCCTGTTTTAAGAGATGGTTGAATGAGCTGCTTTATGTCATTCAAATGGAACGACTACGTCTTGAAACTTCACAGAAAAAAGCTGAAACCACATGGGGACCTATTTTAAGACTCTTGGGAATCTAGCATTTTACCTTTGGAAATTTTCATCTCTTAACTCATATATTCATGACACTGACTTTGTAGAAATGTGAATACTGTCATCTTTTTAAAATTTGTTTACGCTACATATGTCATGTGTATATTTATGTATATTTGATAACTGAGACGATTTCTCCCTTTGTTTGTTAGTTTTTTTTTTTGAGGGGGTGGGATGGGGCTAATGTCAATTATTTTGTATTGTATTTATTATTATTCTAATTTAATTATTATTGGTATTGTACTGTGTTTGTTAAAAATCTTATAAAAAGGGATAAAACAAAATATTATAAACAACACAAACCCAGACAATATAGCACTTTTAACTACTAAAAATGTTCATAAAAGTCACTTTTTCCATCTTTTCAAGGTTAAATGATGTTGGAAGAAAGATCAAGCTTCCATTATGCAATTCAAAATCATAAATAAGCGGGAAAACAATAAATAAAAATGTAAAAAACTGATATTTTACAGATATTTGTTACAGTGTTTATGTGTAATCATTACACAGTAATAATAATGAGACAGAAGCTGTGTATAATAGTGAGTGTGTTTGTGCTGTTGATCTGACAGGTGGCAGCAGCTCTGTGGTGGTATTTCATCTCTAAAGGCGTTGAGTATCTGGACACGGTGTTTTTCATTTTACGCAAGAAGTTTAACCAGATCAGCTTCCTGCACGTCTATCACCACTGCACTATGTTCACCCTCTGGTGGATCGGCATCAAATGGGTTGCCGGCGGCCAGTGTGAGTCTTAAACACACCAGCTCCACACACACCATTACAAAAAACTAGTGCTGTTTACGGATCATTCCTATTTAATTGTATGCAAAATACACATTTGTATTTTACGTAATATATATGTGTGCACTGGGCATATTTATTATGTATATTTTAGTGCAAAATTTGATTGCATACAAAATAAAAGTTTGTTCTGACACACACATGCAAGAAAATATCCCCCACACCATTACACCACCACCACCAGCCTGAACTGTTGATACAAGGCAGGATGGATCCATGCTTTCATGTTGTTGATGCCAAATTCTGACCCTACCATCTGAATTATGCAGCAGAAATCAAGACTCCTCAGATCAGGCAATGTTTTTCTCTAATATTGTCCAATTTTGGTCAGCCTGTGTAAATTGTAGCCTCAGTATCCTGTCCTTAGCTGATAGGAGTGGCACCCGCTGTGGTCTTCTGCTGCTGTAGCCCATCTGCCTCAAGGTTGGACGTGTTGCCCATTCAGAGATGCTCTTCTGCAGACCTCAGTTGTATCGAGTGCTTATTTGAGTTACTATTGCCTTTTTATTAGCTGGAACCAGTCTGGCCATTCTCCTTTGACTTCTGGCATCATCAAGGCATTTGCGCCCACAGAACTGCCCCTCTCTGGATATTTTCTGTCCATTCTCTGTAAACCCTAGAGATGGTTGTGCTTGAAAATTCTAGTAGATCAGCAGTTTCTGTAATACTCAGACCAGCCCGTCTGGCACCAACCATGCCACGTTTAAAGTCACTTAAATCCCCTTTCTTCTCCATTCTGATGCTCGGTTTGAACTGCAGCAGATCGTCTCGACCATGTCTTCATGCCTAAATGCATTGAGTTGCTGCCATGTGATTGGCTGATTAAAAATTTGCGTTAACGTGCAGTTGAATAGGTTTACCTAATAAAGTGGCCACACACACATACATAAAAACATAACTATACAAACAATTATTCACGATTAATCTTTGCCCAGGACTGGTATATTTAAAAAGCAGATACAGGAGGTAAAATACAAAAACAAATGCAAAACTAAAATATTTACATATATATTTTATTATTATTTATATAAAATTTGTTGAAGATACACAAAAAAGAAGATAGAAGATTTGTAGAAGATATACAAAAATGTAAAGCATGCTGGGAACTGCAAATCTTAGTATGTGCATCATACAGTATGCGATTAAATGAAGGTATCATTAAGTGCTTTTTTCTCTGTTTCTCAGCATTCTTCGGGGCTCACATGAACGCAGCCATCCATGTGCTGATGTACTTATATTATGGGCTGGCAGCGTTTGGTCCAAAAATACAGAAGTTTCTGTGGTGGAAGAAGTATCTGACCATCATCCAAATGGTAAGCGGTGACATTTTACAATCTTGTGTGAAAAATAATAATAAAATAAGTTAAGAAATTGGGTGAAGCAGTGGCACAGTAGGTAGTGCTGTCGCTTCACAGCAAGAAGGTTGCTGGGTCGAGCCTCAGCTTAGTTGGCGTTTCTGTGTGGAGTTTGCATTTTCTCCCTGCTTTCGTGTGGGTTTCCTCCGGGTGCTCCGGATTCCCCCACAGTCCAAAGACATGCGGTACAGGTGAATTGGGCAGGCTAAATTGTCCGTAGTGTATGAGTGTGTGTGTGTGGATGTTTCCCAGATATGGGTTGCGGCTGGAAGGGCATCCCCTGTGTAAAAACTTGCTGGATAAATTGGCGGTTCATTCCGCTGTGGCGACCCCGGATAAATAAAGGGACTAAGCTGACAAGGAAATGAGCGAATGAATGAATTTGGGAATTTATGTGGAATATAAGGCTGATTTTTACATTTTTTAAATTAAAATATTTGTAAAAAAAAAATTTAAAAGAATAAATTTTAGTTATTTAAAAAGGGGACAGGGCGACGCGTTGGCACAGTAGGTAGTGCTGTCGCCTCACAGCAAGAAGGTCGCTAGTTTAGGCCTCGGCTGGGTCAGTTGGCATTTCTGTGTGGAGTTTGCATGTTCTCCCCAGCACATTATTGCATTCTGTACATTTCTATGATCCGGTAATAATTATGTTTACATTTTTCGATTGTCTCCTTGCCTGATAACTTCTCATTTTTCATACCATTTTCATAGCATATATTCATTAAGCAGAGCAACAAAGATGAACCACATAAATGTCATTCATTAGCTGTTTCCATCCACCTATTTTTATGCGCATTTTGCATATGTGCATAAAAAAACGGTTAATGGGAATGTAACGATGCGCATAAATGTTGAAAATGTGCATAAAAAACATATGCGCATAAATGAGTAGGATAAACTTTTTATTCGATAAGAAAAGATGCGCATGAACTACGATGGAAACACTTTTACCACACAAACTCCAGCATGCATAAAAAGGTCAATGTTAGATGTCAATCTGATGTTGTTACGACTTATTTATGATGTTAAAATGACATAAAATTGACGTCTAATATTGGTGTCAAAATGTGGCAAATATCAAGTGCAATCGTTTTTTGACACCAATGTTAGATGTCAATTATGTTATTACGTCTTATTTGTGATGTTAAAATGACATAAAATTGACGTCTAATATTAGTGTCAAAAGTAGCTCTGAAATATCAGTGACAATAAAATGTAGAATAAGCAATGACGTGCACTTATTAATGATGTTGTGTTCGTTCCTCAGGTCCAGTTTCACGTCACCATCGGCCACACGGCTCTGTCTCTGTACTCGGACTGTCCGTTCCCCAAGTGGATGCACTGGTGTCTGATCGGATACGCTCTCACCTTCATCATCCTGTTCGGGAACTTCTACTACCAGACGTACCGCCGTCAGCCGCGCCGTGACAAACCCAGAGCACTTCATAACGGAGCCTCCAACGGAGCCTTGACCTCCAGCAATGGAAACACGGCCAAGCTGGAGGAGAAGCCGGCGGAGAGCGGCCGCAGGAGGAGAAAGGGCAGAGCGAAGCGCGATTAAAAGCATTAATAACATCATCCAAATAAGCGAGAGCATCGTGAACAAACACAACACGGGCCAGGCGGACACATACATGAGTTCATGTGTATTGAGACTGAACAAAACACTCTGCAAATATACTTTTTCTTCATTTTGGGACATTATTCCCATTGAGCGGACACCTTGATGTCAAAAAGACATTGTCGTCAAAAACACATCCAAAATGCATCAATTTGATGTCAAAACCTTGACGTCTATTTGACATCCACGCATTGATGTAAAAATAATGACACAAATATTATAAGGAAAATAAGCTTCAAACTAAAAAACTTCAAATTTACACAAAAACACAGGCCAGGCGGACACAAACATGAGTTAAAGTGGAGAGAGACTGAACAAAATCAATCTGCAGATACCCTTTTTCTTCATTTTAGGACATTATTCCCATTCACCTTAATGTCAAAACGACATAAAATTAAAAATCGACATTAAAAAATGCATCAATTTGACTTCAAAACCTTGACGTCTATTTAACATCCACACATTAATGCCCTTTTGACCACCAAAATGACGACACAAACGCATTATAATAAAAGAAAAATAAACTTCAAACTAAAGTCGGTGTTTCTTGCATGTGGGAAGAAGGCTGGAGTGAGGGAACGCATACAGTTTTTACCACACACCCACACTTTAGGACGCTAAGGTATTCACCATTAATTGCAAGTATGTATTTCCAGTAAGCTAAATAAAGTGAATTTAAACTTGAATCAGAAGCAGGATTGGACATTGGTTGTGTGTGTAAAACGTGCATTGAGATGCCAAGCCTTTGGCTGTTAGCTGCTGCTACAGGGACATTATTCTTATTGAGCACGCACCTTGATGTCAAAACGACATTAAATTTATATTGACGTTACAAAATACATAAAATATGAATCAATATGTCAAAAACCTTGACGTCTACTCAACATTCATACATTGATGCCCTTTTGACCTCCAAAATAATGACATAGAAAATTAGAGTATAAGAAAAATCCAAAAAAAGAAATTTTAAGAAAGTCCAAATTTACACAACACAGGCCAGGCGGACACAAACATGAGTTTAAGTGGAGAGAGACTGAACAAAAACACTCTGCAGATATCCTTTTTCTTCATTTTAGGACATTATTCCCATCACCTTAATGTCAAAACGACATAAAATTGAAATCGACATAAAAAATGCAACAATTCGACGTCAAAACCTTGACGTCTATTAAACATCTACACATTGACGCCATTTTGACCACCAAAATATCAACATAAAAAATTCATTTTCTTGTCGGCTTAGTCCCTTTATTAATCCAGGGTCGCCACAGCGGAATGAACAGCCAACTTATCCAGCATATGTTTTGCGCAGCGGACTCTCTTTCAGCCACAACATATCACTGGGAAACATTCATACACACTCATTCACACACACTACGGACAATTTAGCCTACCCAATTCACCTGTACCGCATGTCTTTGGACTGTGGGGGAAACCGGAGCACCTGGAGGAAACCCACGCAAAGGCAGGGAGAACATGCAAACTCCACACAGAAACGCCAACTGAGCCGAGGTTCGAACCAGCGACACAGCAACCTTCTTGCTGTGAGGCGACAGCACTACCTACTGCGCCACTGCCTCGCCAACATAAAAAATATTATACTATAAGAACTATAAACTTCAAACAAAAAAATTTCTTATTTACACAAAAACCCAGGCCAGGCGGACACAAACACGAGTTTAAGTGGAGAGAGACTGAACAAAACCCTCTGCAGATATCCTTTTTCTTCAATTTGGGACTGTAGGAGCCTGTGTGTTGATGTGAATGTATTTTGGGTATTTTGCTACAGGGAGATTATTCCTATTGAGCACGCACCTTGATGTCAAAACTACATTAAATTGACATTGATATAAAAAAATACATAAAACCATGCATCAATTTGATGCCAAAACTTGACATCTATTTAACACACGTTGATGCCCTTTTGACCTCTAAAATAATCACACAAAAGCATTATAATAAAATAAAAATAAACTTAAAACTATAAAACTACAAATTTACACAAAAACTCAGGCCAGGCGGACACAAAAATTTTAAGTGGAGAGAGACTGAACAAAACACTCTGCAGATATCCTTTTTCTTCAATTTGGGACATTATTCCAATTCACCTTGATAGCATTAAACTAAATTTGACGTCAAAAATGCATCAATTTGATGTCAAAACCTTAACATCTATTTAACATTCACATATTGTCGCCCTTTTGACCAACAAAATAACAACACAAAAAAGTATTATAAGAAACATAAACTTCAAACTACAAAACTTCACATTTAAACTGGATTATTATGGTATTCTTACAATGCATGTAGGTGGCAAAATGACATCAAACTGACATCTAATATTGCAGTGTTTCTCAACTGGTGGGTCGCGACCCAAAAGTGGGTCACGGGAACATTTTCGGTGGGTCGCAGAGTGTGTGGTCCAAAAAACAAAAGTTAAATTTTTTACTTATTTTGCTTATACCGGTCTTTTATTTTGAAATGCGTGTGCGACAACCCTACCATTTGACAAGTGAAAATTCATTAAATTATTGCAACAAATATGTCTAAGCGCAAGTACGACCCCGAATATGTAAAGGATGGATATATATATATATATATATATATATATATATTTATATATATATATATATATTTATATTGATGACAAAAAAGACGTAAAATATATATATATATATATATATATATATATATATATATATATATATATATATATATATATATATATATTTATATTGATGACAAAAAAGACGTAAAATAGTTTTAATTGTTAGTCTTGGTGAACTTCTTATGTTAACAAATAAATACAAATTAAGTATAATTCCTAAAATTGTATTATAGTTCCTAAAAATTTGGGTCGTGGCATGATGACCATGTAAAAATGTGGGTCCCATGGCCAAACCAGTTGAGAACCCCTGTAATATTGGTTATAAAATTGATGTCAGGACAGTCCTGCAATGGATTTTTGACGTGTTTTTGACGGCAATGTAAGATGTCAATTTGATGTTGTTTTGATATCAAGGCAGTCAATTAACATCAAACTGATGTGCATTTTTCAAGCGTTTTTTTGATGGTGTTTTGACATCAAGGTGCCCGCTGGTCAACTAGCAAAAGTATGATCTGATAACATTTTCCTACTGTTCCCATTGAAAAATTAGTTTACTTCTAGAATGAAAAATTCCTGATAATTTACTCACCGTAATGTCATTCAAGATGGTAAAAGTACGGTAGCAGATTTCAGAGAGGCTAGCAGCAGGTTTTATATAATAATATAAATAATATCAAAACTCAAAATATGCCACCGCACATTCGTAAAATGCATATTGTCCATCCCTGTATGCATAATACTCAATTCCTTATTTGAAAACAACTTTATTTAGTACTACATCTTTTTTGTTATCATATATATATATATATATATATATATATATATATATATATATATATATATATATATATATATATATATATATGTATAATGACAAACAACTCTGGCAAAAAATAGCATCAAACTTGTGAAATTTTATTTAAACTAAAGATATGAGGATATCAATTCAATTGTAAATCAACAGAATCTGTAGATGACACATACATTTGCATTTACTATAGCAATAATCCTGGAGTCTTTCTACAAGTGCCACTGGGCACCACAGAAGTCCACTATCTGGACAACAATTCTGCATGTTTTCCTCAAAACCTTTATTTATTTTCGACTGATTAAGAGACAGAAATTAACATCTTGGATGACAAGATGAGAGTAGATTATCAGGAAACTTTTATTCTTTTATAGCGGAAGTAAATTAATCCTCAACTAAGCATCAAGAAAATGTTCTCTGACAGTTTGAATTGTTCAGCTTTAAAAAAATGTATTGGTTATATGCACATTAAGAGACATTTCTGTTAAACATTACGTTCCTAAATAAGTAATAACATTTTAAAAACGTTAAACAAACGTCCCAATAAAACATGTCACATTAGATGGTCTTCATTGTTCATTATAGTCGAGTCCAAAAGTTCTTTATGTTTCACTCATTGTAAATACTTGCCTCAGTCTACATTTTTCTGAAACGTTAAATATGTTGCTACAGGTGTGTTTCGTTGCACGTTTCAGATTACAAATCCACTAGAGGGCGCTGTCTATATTTTTGCGAATTTGATATACGTTACTTAGGGTGTGTTTCGTTGCACGTTTCAGATGACTAATCCACTAGAGGGTGCAGTCTACATTTGTGCGATGTTAAATACGTTACTTAGGGTGTGTTATGTCGTACGGTTCAGATGACAAATCCACTACAGGGCGCTATCTACATTTGTACGAATCTGAAATACGTGACTTAGGGTGTGTTTCGCTGCACGTTTCAAATGACAAATCCACTAGAGGGCGCATTTTACATTTGTGCAAATCTGAAATACATTACTTAGTGTTTATTTTGTTGCACGTTTCAGATGACTAATCCACTAGAGGGCGCAGTCTACATTTGTGCGATCTTAAATACGTTACTTAGGGTGTGTTATGTCGTACGGTTCAATGACAAATCCACTAGAGGGCGCTGTCTACATTTGTACGAATCTGAAATGTTACTTAGGATGTGTTTCGCTGCACGTTTCAGATGACAAATCCACTAGAGGGCGCATTTTACATTTGTGCAAATCTGGAATACATTACCTAGTGTGTATTTTGTTGCACGTTTCAGATGACAAATCCACTAGAGGGCGCAGTCTACATTTGTGCGATCTTAAATACATTACTTAGGGTGTGTTATGTCGTACGGTTCAGATGACAAATCCACTAGAGGGCGCTGTCTACATTTGTACGAATCTGAAATACGTGACTTAGGGTGTGTTTCGCTGCACGTTTCAGATGACAAATCCTCTAGAGGGCGCTTTTTACATTTGTGCAAATCTGAAATACATTACCTAGTGTGTATTTTGTTGCACGTTTCAGATGACAAATCCACTAGAGGGCGCAGTCTACATTTGTGCGATCTTAAATACGTTACTTAGGGTGTGTTATGTCGTACGGTTCAGATGACAAATCCACTAGAGGGCGCTGTCTACATTTGTACGAATCTGAAATATGTTACTTAGGGTGTGTTTCGCTGCACGTTTCAGATGACAAATCCACTAGAGGGCGCATTTTACATTTGTGCAAATCTGAAATATATTACATAGTGTGTGATTTGTTGTACGTTTCAGATGACAAATCCACTAGAGGGCACAGTCTACATTTGTGTGATCTTAAATACGTCACTTAGGGTGTGTTATGTCGTACGTTTCAGATGACAAAAATTCACTAGAGGGCGCTGTCTACATTTGTATGAATCTGAAATATGTTACTTATGGTGTGTTTCGCTGCACGTTTCAGATGACAAATCCAATAGAAGGTGCAGTCTACATTTGTTGAATCTGAAATACGTTACCTAGTGTGTATTTTGTTGTAAGTTTTAGATGACAAATCCACTAGAGGGCGCTGCCTACATTTGTGCAAATCCAAAACTTGTTACTTAGG